ATAGAAGGAATACACTCTAACAATAAAAAGTATGTTATAGTAAAAGGCAATAGGAATTTTTCAGCTTCATTATAATTTTATAGGACCACTGTCATATGTGGTCCATCACTGAGTGACATACGGTTATGTGGCACATGACTCTACTCACTTTTCATAAAAGTTCCATGTGCTTGAAAATGTATTTTCCAGTTTTCACACTGATATTTCAATCAGAAGTAGGCTTTTTTTTTTTTAACTTTGTTAAAGCCAAATTTGTATTTTTTTTAAATTTCAATAAATTTAGGGGGTATAAATGTTTTTTTGTTACATGGACGAATTGTGGAATGCTGAAGTCAGGGCTTTTAGTGTGCCTGTCACCAGAATAGTGTACATTATACCTGAGAAGTAGACTTTTGACAGTTTATTCAATTTCTCTTAATCTCTGTGAGTCTTTGTTACATTGTGGATAATTTCTTCATATCTCCCAGTGTACTAATTCTCTCTTAAGCTATATCTACTCTGCTATCAAATACATCTATTGTGTTTCTAATTTCAATTTTTATGTTTTTTATTTCAGAATTACTATTTGGTGATTGTTTTTAAATGTATTATTTTGAAATTTGGAAAATCTACAGAAAATTTTTGAAAGATAGTAGTTTACCTTTTACTAGTTTACCATTTAGTTACCCTTCACCTAGATTCACCAACTGGTTAACGTTTTACCACATTTGTTTTTACTCGGTGTACCTCTTTGTTTTGTTTTGCTGAAGCATTTGAAAGTTGCAAGCTTCATAACCCTTCACTCTAAGTACTTTAGCATATATCTCTAGAACAAGAATATTCTTATTTATTCATAGATAATTCAGTTTTTCCTTCCACCACTAAGAACAAAGGCATAGTGTGTTTATGGTCTCCCTCTAGGGCCAGTAAATTTCTAGTTCATCCTTTTTTGGTGGGTGTCATCTTGCATGGATCCTAGGTTTGTCCTGTCTTTTCTTCTTTTGTATAACTTCCACCAATATCTCTCACGCTAATCTCCCTAGTATATTAACACCCAGAACTTTGGCCCATTGGCTCTCAAAATCTGGTCCCCAGACCAGCAGCATCACCGTCGCCTAGGGATTTATTAGAAATGCAAATTCTCAGGCTCCACCCCATACCTACTGAATGTGAAAGTCTGGGCGAAGGGCTTAGCAATGCACATTTTGACAGTCTCTCTAGGTGATTTTGAGGCACAGTGCTTTATGCTGGGGGTGGCAAACTTTGACAGACCAGATCGTAAATATTTTTTAGCCAGTATTCTCTTTTGCACCTACTCAGCTATGCCATTGTAGCCATTGACAATATGTAAGGGAATGGATGTGGCTATGTTCCCCATATGCTTTATTTACAAAACAGGCAAGGACTGCATTTGGTTGGTGGGCCTTACTTTTCCAACCCCTGCTTTAGGCTGTCAGAGATCTGTAGAAGCCTTTTGGAAGCTGTTGCCTTTAGAGCTCAGTTACTTTTTTGAATTGTCTTTCTCCTTGTATTTATGCGTGGACGATTTTCCTGACTGACTTTCCATCTTTAAAGATGTATGTTTAATTTGTGATTTGTAAGTGTTCTGTATAGGAAAGTTCCTCAAGATTCCTAGTCAGAACTGGAAGTCTGTTTTTAGCCTGCTTTTTCAGTTAACTTTATCCCATACCACTGTAACATTTAATTCAAATAGAATATGATTTAACTATAAGGATAATCCCTAGTACTTAGCATGGAATAGTTTTAGAATTATAAAATCGTAGAGCTGGAAAGGTTTTCTAGTCTAATAACCTCCTGTTTTTACTGAAGTGGAAAGTGACGTTCAGAAAGGTTACATACAGAGACTTGCCCCAGATCATATATTAAGTCATTGTCAGAATCCGCACTAGAACCCAGATACTCATGCTGTCTTGTGTCTCCTGAGGTCTTAGGAAATTAAGTTCTAAAGTTTTTTTAATAAAAAAATCTGTAGCCTGATTTTTTTCCTATTGTGATTTTTTTTTTCTGATTTCTCTACCCTCCTCCTCATTTCAGGCCGGGATAGAAAATCGTCAGCTGGACACAGTCGATTTCTTTTTGAAGAGCAAGGAAAATCTTTTTAATCCATCCTCAAAATCTTCTGTACCTGATAGGTTTGATCACTTTTCATCCCATTTATATTTAAAAAGTAAGTAGAATAAAGACGTCTCCATTTGTATCTATCATTTAATCTTTTAATCACTTTCAAATTATTGTTGTGTTTTCTGAGAATTTATTTTACTTGCCGAAACTCAGTCATGGGATTTTATATTCTTTGTGGAAACCTGAGAGAGTTATCAGAATCTGTAAATGTTGTCATTCTAAGTGGGCTATTTATTGTTTATATCCTGTACCATGCTTTGTATTTTTAGTATGAAGGGAAGAGATAATCTTTCAAATTCAAGAAAATTGGCCAGGCGCAGTGGCTCACGCCTGTAATCCTAGCACTCTGGGAGCCCGAGGCTGGCGGATTATTTGAGCTCAGGAGTTCGAGACCAGCCTGAGCAAGAG